GGCCTTCAGTTAACCACTCAGGGTGGGTTCCATCCATTAGTAGCTGGTTCATTTGTCCCACCAAGGCGCTCATGGAGTGAAGTTAGCTTCTTTAACCAGTAGGCGTGGATCATGTCAGGGCCTGGTGCTGTCCAGCTCTTCATACTTGAGACCCACTCTTGAATGTCTGCCATACTGGGTCTTGTGCAGGGAGGTTGCTGTGGTCTGCTCTTAGGTCCACCAGCCACTGGGCATTGTTGTTGTGCGATGCGTCCTTCTCCCATATGCTCTTCCAGAACTGTTCAGTCTCCAGCCTTGGTGGGTCTGCTCTCATGTTATTACCCTGCCACTGAGAGTACACCTTGGATGGCTCAGTGTAGAACATTCGGTTTATTCTCCTGGCTTCAACTTCCCTGGTGTACCTCTTCAGCCAGGTGGCCAGGGCTGTGAGCTTTTGCTTGGCAGTCTCTAAGGCCTCAGGTACGACTCTAGTTAGAGTCGTACTTCTTAGGTACCCTTTCATTCATCACGCCTCTCTGCAATTCCGATAGCTGGCTAACTTCTCTCCTTGCTGCCTTGATCTCCAACCTCCTCCTCCATGGTGGATACGGCTCCTTATGGCCTTTGTTGAACTTATAGTCAAGCATCTCAAGGATCATGGTTGCTGTGGTGTATATCAGCTTGTTGGTCTCAGTGATGGCCATAGTAGGGATTGTTCTTAGTGCTGCATTCACATCCTCTAGTAGACCTTCAAAAGGCACTTCACTTAGTCTTGGTAACCGGCCACAGGAGTTCCAGGTGTCCATCTTGCTCATGATCTTCAATCTCAGGTCAGCTGCTCTTGAATCAAGCTCATCCGGGACTGTTATTGGGACTTGGTACGCAATCTCCAATTGTGGGAGTGATGATGATGATACGTATCTCCCCACTGATATCATCCCCCCTGACCTGGCGTCCTGGCTCCCCCTTGTTGTAGCATTCGTGTTGTACTTTGTCAATCTCTAGTTGTGATAGCAGGTGCTTCTTGCGGATGTTAGAGCACTGAGCTATTAATTGTTTCTATGTTAGTCTAGATGTTGGGTTACGAAGTATCCATAGGTCCCACATCCTCTGTATATGACCCCTCTCGCTGGGGTTACTTGTGTAGTAGCATTCCATTAGTTCCCTGTTCTCATCTCCTGTCCATGAATGTCTTGTTCCAGTAGCCCACTTCTCATCAGGTTGCCCTGGTTCCTCAACACCTGATGCGGACCTTGTTGACCCGGGCAATGTCCGAGTCGGTATGACTCTCATTTTTCCAACTCTCATTACCCATGAGGTAGGCAGGTAGCATTAAGGGCCTTGCCTAAGGACCCAGGCTGGATATTGACCACTTCCTGAACCCAAGCTTCCTTACCAAAGTCTATGGTGTTAACTGCTGAGCTATTCAGTCTGCTATATATAGCAACAAACTTTGATGGAAGTGTTCTGGATACAGCATGGTACGAGCAAACAGGTTTTAATATCTGTAACTTGTACCAAATTATTATGGCCTATTACAAAAAAAAAAAAATTAAAGTCCTCATCTCTAACTTCCGAGTCCAAATTCAGTCAAAGCTCGAGTCTGAGTCTAAAACTGAGTCATTCATCGGTGTTCAAGTCCAATTTGAATCAGGAGTCCTGAAAATCATGACACTAGTCAGACTCGAGTCCGAGTCCTGGTCCTGAGTATTACAACACTGCAGCATGCAGTTATTGGCTCTTTTTAATTTCAGTTAAATGGTCACCTGTATAGTGACTTTCCCGTGTGTTATTTTTCTGTTTATTTTGATAATTTTTTTGTGTGTTGAATACAATGATTTATCAATACATTTGACTTGACTGAGTTGATGATTCAACTCAATTATTTTAGATATGTAGTTACCCAGTGGCAGCTGAACACGTAGCGGCACAGATGAATGACTCTCCTCTCTGTGTCCCAGCTGCCCTTGTTCACCATTCCCAAAGGAGTAGACCCTCTCAGAGTCTGTCAACACTAACGTGTGATGTCTGGTTAAGAAAACAGTACAACACAAAAAGTATTTTAATGCCAGCAAGGTTTGTGACCTGTACGTCACTAAACTTTAGCTAGTGTAATAATTTCTGTGGGATGATGGGAAAGGAAAGTTGAGATGTACATAAAACCTGAGGATATGAGCCATTAGCTGAAAGTTGAACTCAAATGATGAATTACAAACAGGAAGAGATAGTCACATGCCCTTCCTGTACATTGACAAAACGTCTGTCATGATGTTGCGGTTTAGAGTCTGACATTCAGTGATATTCTTACACAGCTATGCAAAATTTGGTTGATAAATTTGATAAATACTGTTTTTCTGTAATTGTTTTTGTATCATTTGGTGTCTGAATGAGCCTGACAACTCGGTCAAACTGATTTAAAAATAAATGTTAACAGTGGCATTTGTATGAGAAAACTAGCCAATATAAAAATGAAATTATGCTTGAATTCAACAATGAACTATACTGGCTCAGGATTACTGCTTATAATACAGTAAGTTTACAATTATACTGTACCGTCCACATGCAATCCTGGTGACCTTTGCACCCCAGAGCTCTGCAACAAGCCGTGGACGTAGTTCATCACAGACTGAGTTGTGTCCCAGCTGTCCATAGTGACCAGAGCCAAATGTAAACACTGCACCATCCTAAGGAAGCAACCAGACAACTATGGTTTAAGTACCACTTAATTTTATACTTCTATTTACATATCCATAGGACCCAGGAAATCAGTATGTGATTGCATTTGTTAATGGATGGTAAATACTTTTTTTAATTAATGACTGATGCCTGAATGGACTATGAAAATCAATGGTTTTGTATTTTTGCTTACATATAATTGTTTGTGTTCATCCAACCATGGCTGCTGAATTTAGCAGCCAGTGTTTGAATCACTAAATGCATATCTTTTTTCAAGGATAAGTATATTAAAAGTAAAGTTACTGGGCAAAGTTAAACTTTCAAAAGGCATGCCTAAGTAAAATTACCACAGCCTGAGATAAAGGCAGTTTTAGTATGGGGGAAGGCAGTGTACAACAAATAAAATACAGCTTCTAAACTGAGATCTATTGTTTAAAAAAAAAAAAAGATATGATTTACATTCAGAACTAGCGTTTTCTCCAGACATCATATTCCATCATTTCATTGTCATTTATAAGATAATCACCCTTATTGGCCAAGTATGTTACATGCAAGAAATGTATTTCCAGTACAGAACCAAGGCAGCCATCTGTGGCACCAACTCAACCAATCGGCTCTAACCATTGGGGGGTGGGGGTTCAGTGTCTTGCCCAAGGACACTTCAACATGTGGATTGCAGGTACTGAGATTTGAACCTTCAACCTCCCGGTTGGGAAGCAATTGCTCTACCCACTGCACCACTGTCGCCTCCCCTTTATAGAGTAGTTTGAACCTTCTGTTTTTACACTTTTTTCTGGTAATAAAATGTCATAGGTAAGACCATGAGAGTGTTAAAAAGTTTTCCTTGACCAACCTTTGTCAAAATGGCAGAGTGGTCCTTTCCACAGGAAATGTAAATAGTTTTCTTCCTGTTCAGATAACGAACAGCTGTTGGTTTGCATCTGTCTATAGAAAAGATATTAAAATTCAGGTTTACCTGTTACAGAACAGTATAGTACATATGTTTTCTTTTCTTTTCTTCTTACCTGTTTTGTCTCCCAGCCCCAGTTGTCCACAGTCATTTCTGCCCCAGCCAAACACACCTCCAGACACAGAGAGTGCGTAGCTCTGTTCTCCTCCTGCAGCGATCTGAACCAGGGGGATCACTGACAAAGACTGGAGGTGTTGTGGTGAACTGGTGCTGCACCTCCTGTTTCCCAGACCCAGCTGGCCCCGTGAGTCCAGACCCCATGTGTACACCAGACCATCTGTGGGGACATCAACAACACTTTTCTGACACCCTGACATGTTTGACTGTTGTAAAACAATTAGTGATCACAGTTTCTGCATGCAGCATACAGTAAATGGACATTAATGTTTTCATTAATTATAATGATCACTTGGTTTTCTGAGCCACCTTTGGACTTGGAGTCAACTTTCACCATCAAGTCCCAACAGTGGATGAGATGTTTCTCCACCTGGTCAAATTTCTGTTTCTTCCCAACTTAGCAATTAATATTTAAGTTTACAGAATGCTGAGATACAATCTCCAATGTACTGATTACAGAATGTTAGACGGGTGAGAGCCACAGGTCCTCACTGCAGCACTAGTGTGTATGTGAATGTAAAACATATATAAAACTAACACTCATGTATAAGAGCAGTTTTTCTGTTTCTGTCTAAACAAATATTTCTACAGCTTGCACATTAGAGGCTGATTTCACTTCACTGTACCTTTGGTCAAGGCAACTGAATGTTGGCTCCCACAAGCAACCTGAGAAACTGGTGTGTTACACAAAACTTTAGGAGGGCTGAAACAACAGAGACCAGCAGAGTTTATACACCTGTTCAGGAATAGTTAGTGTAGCTACAACGAATTCAAGTTCAGATTTTACAAAAGACAAAACTTCAAATGTTCATTCTCCTACCTTGGAGTGAAAGGAGTGTGCGTTGTGTCTACACAGAAAACTGTGCCTCTCTCAGACAGTAATGTGACTACATCATCACCACAACTTACAGCTTGAATCTTCTCATTGCAGTTCACAAACTCTGTAAGTACACAAACCACAGAAACACAGCAGGTGATCAGTGACGCAAAAAACAGAACTTCCTTTCACCTGATCTTTGTAAGCCCATGTGTTGCATAGAGTGGGTCACAAAACTGGAGCTCACTCTGTTTCCTCCAGACTCTTTCTCTGTTGTTGCTCTCGCTTGTGTGAATGATGAAGGCATCTCCATTGGTTTTAATGAAGGCAAGCACGCTGTGACCTGCTGACAGGTCCTTGATGTAATAACTGAGGTTTAAAAAGTGAACTCCATCAACTGTTGAAATATTCGAGCCCTCTCTCAACCGAAAGCCATGCTGACAGTCCTCTCCCCATGACAACATTTTCATAAAGTGGCTCTGAAGACCTGACATCTGGTTTTAATGACTCAGCTCTGTCAGTCAGAAATGAAACCTTATTCAAACTCTGCTGTGAGCAATGGAAAACAAAACTTACATGATGAAATGAAAGTGACACACCCCCTGAGGCAGAGGAAGGAGATTTATTGCATTTGTGGTGAAAAGGAAAATGAAAATGAAACTGGAGTTGTTAGTGCTGCTATTTTAACTCCAAAGAAGCACATCAAATATGAGTTTAAACAAGTAAGCAATTAATCATTTAACAAACAATTAATCAGCTACTGTTGTTCTGTTTAGTTCATTTTTTAAAGATTTCATGTTTTCAACTTCTCACATATGATGATTTGCAGTTTTCCCCGGTTAAAGACAGTAATTTGGGGGTTTGGACTGCTGCTCAGACAAAACAAGGCATGTGAAGGTCTCACTTGTCAGTGTAGTGTAACTGTAATGGGCATTTCTCACTATTTTCTTACATTTTACAAACCAAACAATAAACGAAAATAACAATCTGCAGTGAAAGCAATATAATTATAAAAATTAGCTCCATCTCAACTAACACCACTAAAATACTGCTTAAACATTACTGTATGAGTAATAACAATCTGGTGATATAGAGTATAATAATATATAAACTACATAGAGCTTCATTTGATTAGAGGGGGCACTTCTGTGCCTGTAGTTATGATACTTCCAAGTACACTTATGTACTGCAGGACTTTGTAGTGAAATATTTATACACTGTGGTATTAGTACTTTTACTCAAGTAATTCAGTTGTATTGAATTCACATCAGTTTTACGTAAATAGCACTTTACACACAACACAGTTGATCCAAAGTGCTTTATATTATAACAGAGAAAAAACAAACAAAAAGAAGACAGAAAAATAAAGGCTCAGAATATTTCTTCTACCTGTGTTTGTTAGTTATTTTGATGTAGTTTCAAATCTGCAACGGCCAGTATTAGATATATCAATGGCATTATTCCCACTCCTGAGTGCAAATAACAACACTAAATTCTAATATCTTATAACATATAACTACAAATATTCATTGTGACTAAAATACATACATATAAAGCTTCATCATTAAAAATAAAATGAAGACAAGAAAAAAAGAGAGGCTGTGAAGACTGTGTCTTACTGGACCTATTAATGCTGCCCAGAGGAATGGCACATATTAGCCATTTGACCTAATAACCCATAACTGATATAAAGGGCAGGGGGTGTTTTCATTAATACTATTTCAATCAATGGGAGGAACATCTCCAAGTCTTGTACCTCATTCTAACAAAATACAGAAGGTTATCCTTACCAGAAAAATGTATCCAAACGCGTGTGTAAGCTGCAGTATTTCACTTCAGCACACAGTAGGTTAACCCAGCTATGAGGGTAGCTCTTCAAGTTGCTCTTCGACAAACCCTTGTTTTTCTAGCTTTACAGCCAATGCGTGCACACCAAACAACCACAGTCTATGAAGGTGTTAATGATAAGATTTAAAGAGTGATGGATTGTTGTGCTCAAAGCTTTATCGTCTAAAGATATTAAAGGGATACTACAGTTAGTGTAGCATCCCCAGCCAATTGATTTGGTTGCTCTCTTTTACTGATGGTTCATTTGTACTTTCTTTGCTCCTTGAAATCCCTTCATTACACCTTGAACACACCGTAAGAGCTATGAAACAAAATAAAGCTAGATAGCACCCAAAATTACAGATAAATATTTAGCAAAATGCGATAAAATAAACAGTGTTCAGCAATAACACAAACGGTTAAATCACACATAAACATAGCTTAGCGTCACATAGCGTAGCGTAAAGCTAACATTAGCTCCTTTGGCTAACCCATACAAAAATATAACCATAGACAAATTAGCAACCCAAATGAATCATTGTACCCTATGAACTAAACACTACGAACCTTGTGCCAATATTGGCTGGATGCTAAGCCATAAATGAAACTGTATATTACTTTCTTATACTCCGTTTTCATTAACTATTTATTCCTGTTTTCTCCGTTCACTTTCTGTGCTTCTTCTTCATTGGTCTTAACTTTCTGTTCTACTTCTTCCTTCAAAATAAAATACTCCGTAGTAATAAACGTATTTTATAGAACAAACAATGAAACTAAACTGTATTAATAAACACTATAAACGGTTAATAAAAATGGTTATTTACAGTTTGTTTATGTCATTTACCCTGAAAACTGTTGGACTGTGCAGTGTTTAGCTCTATTTAAAGTTATCTGTGATGTGTTTTATTAGTTATTCAACAAATGAGAGGCACCAAAAAATGTATTTTCTATTGCTTCAACATGAAAGTTTATACATGTAAAAATACTTTCTCACATGGTCATTTCTGTACATAAGCAAGGAACTGTGTTTTTGTTGTGTTTGCACCGTTACTGTTGTTCAACTTGGCCCCAGAATAACAAACCTTGTGACACTCTTGATTTCTTGAGGAGATGCAACACATGAATAAGATGTCTAATTATGTTATGTTCTCTGCTCTTTACAGACACAGAGGATAGTCGAAGGAGAGTCCCACCATCACTTGTACATTCTTCTGTTGTTGCTCAGGGCCTCTTTCAGCTTGGTTTGCATGATCTCCTTGGATGAATATAATGGCAGCTCCAGGACTGAGTAACACGTATGCGTCTCAGGGTAGTACTCGTCGTAGGAGAGGTTGTGGACATGTTTAACCCTGACACTGATCTTGATGTGCTCCATACCAAGAATAGGCACCCTTTCAAAACCTGTCACAAACCCTAGCGAAAGGGAAAGTGGCAATCAGTGAGTTTCAGTGTTGACAACTAACTTAAATAGACTCCAGTCATTAGTTGTTCCCATGATTAAGTGCTACTAAGTCTAGTCTAGCCATTAGCAACATGATTTCAGCTTTTATATCTAAAGTGCAACTCACAAAGGAAAGTTTTCTTCTGATCCTCAGTTAGTTCCTCAAACACCTCCCAAAACATCCGTATGGTGGGGTGGTTTTCATGGTACTGCCCCTCATAACATGTGCTCTAATGACAGTGAAGCAGAAACACAATTACTTCTCTTACAGACTCCTATAAACACATAAGGATGTAATATATCAGTTTAGGTTGCAGAGAAAACAAGAACACTAAGAGCTCTTGTTTTGACTGTACCTGTTTGAGCTTTTCCCAGTCATGGAAATCTTTGCCCACCAGCACTCCCTGCAGCTCCTCTGGCCGGAACAGCTTCACCAACTCCCGGTCACACACCTGGAAGAAGCCTCGCTTGAACTCCCGGAACACACCCTCCACTGATGTGTTGAAGGCGTGATTCACGTAGGCATTCACAAACTCCCTCCTATTGAACAGAGTATAGTTTTAATTCAAGAAACATTTCTGTGAGACAGAGCTGATCTGGATACAGGGCACATACAGTACTGTGCAAAGCTCTTAGGCAACCATTACATTTAATGGTTTAATTTTACCCATCATGTATGTCCACGTCTCTGTCAAATCAATGACCCCTCTGTTCTGCATATTAACAAATCAACATACGTAACTGTGGCAAACACAGAGAAATCACCAGACTGTGCAGGTCCTCTCAGATCTACAGAGTTTTATAGCATCCTTTAGCTTTTTGAGACCAAGACCATCATGCTGAGCACAGGGGCTCCGCAGGGGTGTGCGCTTAGCCCATTGCTCTTCACAGTGCTGACCCATGACTGTGTGCCAACCTACAGCACCAACCACATTGTCAAGTTTGCGGTTGACACTGCTGTAGTTGGGCTCATTACCAACAATGATGAGGCCAAATATAGGAGTGAGGTGTGCCAACTGGTCCAGTGGTGTAAGGACAACAACCTCTCCCTCAATGTGGGGAAGACTAAAGAGATCATTGTGGACTTCAGGAGAAAACCTCTAAAGCATCCACCACTGACCATCGATGGTGCTGTAGAGGATAGAGTGAGCAGTATCAAGTTCCTGGTGGTGCTTATCTCTGAGGACCTCTCCTGGACCAACAACACCACATCACTGGTCAAGAAAGCTCAAACACGCCTCTACCTCCTCCACAAATTGAGGAGACCCAGAGCCCCACCCCCATCATGTGCTGCTTCTACCGGGGCACCACTGAGAGGGTCACTACTGGCTCCATCACTGTGTGGTACAGAGCCTGTACTGCCTCCTGCAGAAGGACCCTGCAACGCGTAGTGAGAACAGCCAGCAAGATCATCGGTGCC